CCCGGCGTCCTGGGCCAGCTGTTTCCTGTCGGGGGAGCTGGCGCGGAGTCGAGTGCCCGCACCCGCGAGTCCGCGCTGCTTTCCGCGTGTCCTGGGTGTTGGGAGCCGGAGGAGGTGCCGGCGGTGCGCCGTGGAGTCGAGGCTCGGTGTGGTCCTGCGCCTCTGCGGGACGTTTTTATCGCTTCTCGGCTTGGTCTTAGAGCGTGGACCCTTTGCTTTCTCAGTAAATCCCGTTCAGAGCAACAAAATAAGCCTCCTGTCACCTAGCTGTACTCCAGAAACTTAGGTTGTAATTGAAGGGGGTGCGGCTAGAAGTTGTGGTTAGCTACCCTCTGGCCTTATAGAAAGGCGAGACCTACCGTTTCTCACTGCTTTCAAACGATGGGCAACCATTTTTAATTGTACTTAACTAGTTTTGTTGCCTCTTTTAGAAACTGTTAAGTTAAATACGCCCTTCTCCCTTCTTGACTTTGTTACTCGGCGTCTCGGATATCTCTAGGAGTGTCTGGTGGGTGTTAGAATTGTTTTCATTGAGATACAGAGTTGAGCCAGGCGCGGTGGCGCACGTCTGTAATTCCATTGACTGGGGAGGTTGAGGCGGAAGGATCGCAAGTTCGAGGTCAGTCTCCGCAACTTAGCGAGGCCCTCACTAACTTAGCAAGACTCTGTCTCTAAATTAATTAATTAATTAACAAATAAAGACTGATTAGGGATGTAGTTCAATCCCCAGTTCCAAAAATAAAATAAAACAAATCACTTAAGGGTGTGATATTCTCTGCCAGCATTCTAGACCGGGTGAGTGGTTCCTAAGAAATGAGACCCGGTCCTGATGGAAGAGGAATTAAAGGAGAGATGTAGTGAAGATAAAATGCTGCTGAAATTTGGATTCATTTATTTTTTTGTTTTTGTGGTATTGGGGAATGAACCCAGGGCCTTGTGCATGCAACTCTACCTACTGAGCTATATCCCCAGCCCTTTGCCTAACTAAAAGACTCAGCTGGAAGAAAGTGCTTAGTAGATGTTAATCACTGTTTTTCAGAATTTTTCTCCCAGGACTCGCCCCCTCGCCCCTTGCAATTTCTCTTGTTACCTAGCCTGTCACATGAGGGTTTCCATCTGCACATAGCCTCTCACTATCAGGCCACTCTTGAACTCTCTTCATTCATACCCAGCTGAAGAACCACTTTTCCAGCTAGTTACAAAGCTGTGAAAACTTAAATGCTTTCAATTGTGTTGTGTTGTATTTTTTATCAATGCTTTATTACCTAGTGGCCAGGCATATTTATAAGTTTCTTTTTACAATATCCCTTTGTGGACATCTAATAAATGGTCATTATTTCTGAGTACTAGTTCATTTTCCTGAATACTGTAAGATTTGTGACTGACTTTAAGGCACTATTATGTAACCTCCCCCCATTTGGTATGTATGTATTTGGTCTGTATGTATGTATTGTGCCAGGGCTTGAACCCATGAGTGTTTAATCACTGAGCCACATCTCCAGCCTTTTTCTTTTCTCTTTTTAAATATTTTTTTAATTGCCAATGTGCCTTTATTTATTTATATGTAGTGCTAAGAATCGAACCCAGCACCTCATACATGCCAGGTAAGCACTTTACCATCAAGCTACAACCCCAGCCCTTTTTATTTTGAGACAGGGCCTCATTAATTGCTTAGGACCTCACTAAGTTGCTGAGGCTGGCTTTGAATTGGTGATCCTCCTGCCTCAGCCTTCTGAGCCACTGGGATTACAGGCATGTACCACCATGCCTGGCTGGTCTTTATTTCTATCAGGTTAAAACAATGCTCTATTTGGAATAAGCTTTCTAATATCAGGTAAGTTTACTTGAACTATTAGTGGTTTTTGCTTGTTTGTATGTTTTTAAGCACTTAAGCTTTCCTTTCCCAGATAGAAAAATCAACCCCTAGGTCGAGGGGTGAACTCAGTAGTAGAGCACTTACCCACCATGCGTGAGGCCCTTGGTTCCATGCTCCAACCGAGGAAAAAAAAAAACAAAAAAGCCACCCTGAATTTTTGGCTTTATTCTGGGAAGTGAGCTTTATGAAGATAAGAAAATGTTGGATTATCATTTTTGCAAAGGGCATAATAGTTGGCATTCAGAAATGAGCTAACTGCAGAGGGAAAAGTGCAAGCTGGCACACTGGCCTTCTTCCTCTCAACCCTCTGTTAACCCAACAAGCTCCCACAGGTTGTTCTTGAAATTGCAGGATGATTATAGAGCAATATTGGACATGTAATCAAATCTTGCTTTCAAGCCATTATTAGTCAAAGGGTGGATTTTACACCTGTGCTCATGGATCTTCTGGTGTTAAACATTGGTGTTTAAGTGTAACTGTTTTCATTTTAATTTCATCTATGATCTAGGCTTTTTGGGAGAGAAAGTATCAGGCAGACCAGATACACCTGGATTCTGTTCCTACTATTAATTTGGAATTGATTTCCATGAGTGATAAAGTTACTGGTCCTGTGTTACATAAGTGAAAACTATCAGGAATGCAGATTGATGGCAGGTGGAAAACTAGGGGGTCAGCTTTAAGGACACTTTTTTGCTTTGGGGATTGAAGCTGTGTGCAGGGGACTGCTGAGATTACTAAGCATGCACTGTGCAAATGTTTGATAATTTTTAATTGTCTGTTATCAGGTCTTACAAGCTCTACAGACCATACCTTAGTTTGATAACAGCAAGTTTCCATCTCTCTGAGGATACACAGAATATTCTTGTCTTGTTATTGCTTTATTCTTTCTTGGAATTTACTGAAAATAGGTTATGAAGTTTTTTCTTTTATGATGGGCTAGATCAGTTTTTAAATCTTGAGAGTTTTAGTATTGTGAGCTTAAGTCACTTAAGCAGAAAGGCAGCATTTGCTTTTCCAGTTATGGCTAGGCTTTGAGATAACACACCCTCAGTGACTTCCTGCCCGGTCTTTCTATGTTGGCTTTGTAGAGGTCCTGGGACTCTTTGCCACCTTGGTGACCTCCTTTACCAAGTGAACTCTAAACTGCTATGCAGCATAGTACTGACAAAGAACAAAGCTGCTTTGCATTGTTCCAAGTATGCTAAGAGGGGGTATAGGAATTACTGGTCTATTTTCTTTTCCTAAGAATAGCATTAATTATGTTGGATGCTTCTCACCTTGTTAGGCAAGTTACTGAATCTCACTGGCCTCAGTTTCAAAATCTAAAATAGGGAGAATAATATCCACTTTATAGTGAAAATAAAAGGAGAGAATGCATGGAAGAGCTTAGCATAGTCACTGACAAGACAGTGGATGATATATAAGTGTTTCCCACCTACCCCTTCTGGACAATTTAAAACAGGGAGAACTGCCTGTTTAAAACCTTTTCCATGATTCTAAATATGCCTTTAAGAAAAGGAATTAGACCAAGTGCAAGCTTGTAATCCTAGCAATTTGGGAAGCTGTCGCAGGAGGGTCACAAGTTTGGGACCAGCCTCAGCAACTTAACAAGGCCCTAAGCAAATTATTGACACCCTGTCTCAATAAAAAGGGCTCTGGCCGCTAGGGAGGCTGTGGCAGGAGGATCATGAGTTCAGCAACTCAGCAACTTAGTGAGGCCCTAAGCAACTTGGTGAGACCTGTCTCTAAATAAAATATTAAAAAGAGCTGGGTTTGTGACTCAGTGTTTAGGAGCATCTGGGTTCAATCCCCAGTACCTCCCCGCTGAAAAAAGAAAAGAAAATGAATTTGCACTAGATATATCTGTAATACTTGTGACTATACATCTGCACTTCTGTAATACCAGTGACTCAGGAGATTGAGACAGGAGAACTGAAAGTTTGAAACCAGCCTCAGGAACCTGGGGAGACCCTGTCTCAGAATAAAATTAGAAAAGGCTGGGGGATATCAGTTAGTGGTGGAGTGTCCCAGTGTTAAAACTCTAGTACCACCACCACAAAACTAAATTAAAAAAAGGAATTGGCATTGATCTTTGTACCCATAGGTTGGGTGTCAAGAAATACACAATAGAACTTTTTCTGAGTTGGATGGTAGTGCAAGTGGAATTTGAAGTAGAGGATAGTTTTTACTCAACTGTGTTTCATGCTCCTACTTGGCTCCTACTTGTTCCCAGTCAAACATGATTATCACCTGTGATCCAATTGCTCTGCCTAGTGACCATGTTAAGTAATTGTGGAAGGAGAATGACCAGAAAAACACACCTGTTACTCTGCCTATTAGCCATGTGGCATACCAGGTGTAGCCTGGGCTATATGTGAAGAAAGAACAGATATTGTTATCTAATAATATTTAAGTATAAAGGTGACCACAGTTATCTCTTTTGAATTGCTTGTACTTGCAGCACTCCTTGTATAGTCAGTGTGTTTATGGACACACAAATGTTTCCTAGAAAAAGGCTTAGCCAGTCATGGCTTTTGATAGAAATAGAGCAAGTAGGAATTGGCTGAGCAATATCTGGTTGAGGATCAAAGGTAGAACATTTAAAGAACTGTCAGCTGTCAGCATGTTTTAAACTTCTGCAGTGTTGAAGACACTGACTAAATGCTTGTATGGTTTGTATCACTTGAATCCTCACAGCCTGTGAAGTAGAGACGGGATCCAGTTCTTGTTCTGCGAATGCAGCAAGGTTCAGAAAGGTTACTGACCTGCACAAGATTATCTGGCAAGAAGGCGGCAGTCAAACTGAATTTTGTCTCTGACTCCAGAACTTTGTCTTAATAGCTCTGCCTACCGATTTTGGCCTAGTTTTAGGGACTCTAGAAAGAAAATGTGGCCAAACCCAGATCTTTGCTAATTTATCCTGACATTTTGTGTTCATCATTGACACTATTGCTCTGATTCTTGTAGCTCAGAATTGCTCTTGGCTTCTGCCCATTTCTAATCAGCACAGTAGCCCTTCTGGAGACAGTTCTCTTTTCTCATAGAGGCCTCTTCTTACTTTTCTATGTGCCAGATCCATGGGTGATTTCCCTAATGCTGGCACTTTCTCTGACAGAATTGAGGCAGAATTAGCTGTTGGTGACCTATCAGTCAGTAGGTTTTAATTATCTTCTATGTCTTTATCTTTTATGTCTTACTTCCTTTTGGTATAGAATAGCAGTTGAAAGCACAGAATCTAGAGCCACAGATCAAACTGATTCCTACCCCACTTATATCCTGGGGTAAGGGTTTTATTTTTATTTATTTAATAATAAATAAGATGGTGTTATTTTTTTCTTTTTATTTATTCACTGATTTTTTTGTGGTGTTGGGGATGAACCCAGGGCCTTTTACCTGTTAGGCAAGTGCTGTACCACTGAGCGACACCCCCAGCTCATATCATAATTTTTCTGAGCCTCTTCTCATAACACAGATAATAATCATGCTTATTTTACTATAAAATACATAGTACTGAGTAAGCATTTAACCATCAGGTATTTCTATCCGTTCCAGTGTTTATGACTATAGAAATTAACGTTTGCTTTATTCATGCATTCTGCAGCTATTGAAATATTTGAAGAAACTCTCCACCTTGCCTATTACAGTAGATATCCTTGCGGTAAGAATTGTTGTATTTCTTTCTATATTTCTTCCTTTATTCCTTTCCCTTTTTTGTGTATGTGTGGGGGGGTGCTAGGATTAAGCTAAGGGCCTCTCATGTGCTAGGCAGCCACTCTACCACTGAGCTACTTCATTAGTCCCAAGTTTGTTATATAACTATATCTCCATCCTCTTTCCACTGGAGAGAGTGTAGAGGAAGATTTAGAGGATGGGCTTTGAAAGTGAAAGAAACCAGACACAAAAGGCTATATATTGTATGATTCTGTTCATAGGAAATGTCAAAACAGGCAAATCTACAGAAAGTAGATGAGTGTTGCCAGTGGCTGAGGGAATTGGGAGGAACCAGGCTTCTTTTCAGGGTAATGGAAATGTTCTGGAATTAGATAGTACTCAAGGTTACATAATATTAGAGGTGTTCTGGAAATCACTGAATTATATACTTTAAAATGGTGAAATCTATATGATCCCCCCCCCCTCCCAGTGCTGAGGAATGAATCCAGGGTGTTCCTCTTGCTGGATGAGCACTACCATTGAGCTACACCCCTAGCCCTGTTATGTGACTTGTATTTCAAAATTAAAATGAATGAAAAGAACATTGGCTTTGGCATCTACTGGTTCTGGATTCAAATCCAAGTTCTGTGACTCTATGCTATGTCTCTGTAAAATAAGGCTGATTTCTGCCTCAAGAGCTATCATAGCTGGGCCAGGTGTGGTGGCACATTCCCATGATCTCAGCAACCTAGCGAGACCCTATTTTGAAATATAAAAAAGGGGAGGTGGCCGGGATGTGGCTCAGGGGTTAAGCGCCTCTGGGTTAAACTCCAGTACCAAAAAAAAAAAGTTATTGTAGCTGAGCATAATGATACATGGCTACAATCCCAGATACCCAGGAGGCTGAGTCAGGAGGATCCCAACTTGACAACTTGGCAAGGCCCTATCTCAAAAATAAAAAAGGGCTGAGGATGTAGCTTAGTGGTAAAGCTCCCTGGATTTAATCCCCAGTATTAGAGGGAAAAAAGTTACAGAGAAGACTGGTTTAAATACTGTTTGCAAAACCCTGAGCTCAGGGTCAAACACCTACTATAATCATTCTTGTTAAAGTTACAGAAATATTTTGAGGAAGTGTTTTTCTGAATTTGTAAGCTTTGTTACCTTGTGTCATTTAAGAAATTTGAACATAGGCAACAAAGTAATTTGTTATTCAGACTTGCAAAGTATGTTTTAGGACGGAAGTATTAGTTGTTGATTTTCTCAAAGCAAGAGGCCCTGTTTCTTTAGGAAAAATGTGAGCTGGGTTCTCTAACTCTCTGTCAATTATTTTGTTAAATTTGTAGGAGACTGGGGTCGGGAAAACAGTAAATAGCTTTCGAAAACATGAGCAAGTTGGAAGCTTTGCCAGGGACCTAGTGGCCCAGTGGAAGAAGCTGGTTCCTGTGGAACGGTGAGAACATTTATTCAGCACTGTGGTATTTATTTTTATTCCTTTTCCATCTTCTTATTTAAAATGCATATTTTGGCCAGACATGGTGGTGTGTGCCTGTGGTCCCAGCTGCTCAAGAGACTGAGGCAGGAAGATCACAAGTTTTTAGGCCACCATCAGCAACTTGGTGAGATTCTGTTTCAAAAATAAAAAGAGCTTGGGATGTAGCTCAGTTAAAACACCCCTGGGTTCAATCCCCAGTACCATAAGTAAATAGATAAATATCTATTTTGCCTCAATTATAAAAGTAATGCATGATTGTTATAGACTCTTAGAAAATAGAGATAAGGCTAGGCGAGGGGTGCACACCTGTGACCCCAGTGACTTGGGAGCCTGAAGCCGGAGGATTGCAAGTTCAAAGACAGCCTCAGCAATAGCAAGGCACTAAGCAACTCAGTGAGACACTAAATAAAATACAAAATAGGGTTGCTCAGTGGTTAAGTGCCCCTGAGTTCAATCCCCAGTACCTAAATAAATAAATAGAGATAAGAATTGAAATTTCTTAAAGGTAAACAATAACATTTTAGTATGTTTCTTTCTAAACGTTGTTGTCATTCTGGATATTGAACCCAGGGGATTGTGCATGCTAAGCATATGTTCTGCTGAGCTACATCCCCAGTCCTTTTTATTTTTTGAAACAGGGCCTCACTAAGTTGCTGAGGCTGGCTTTGAACATGCTCTTCCCGCCTCAACAGTCATTGGGATTACAGGTGTGCAACACCATTCCTGGCTAACCTCTTCTTAAAAGGCATTTTTAGCTTTTTTAGCTTCCTTTTTACATAACAAGTTTAAAATTGTCCCTGTGTTAAAAAAAAAAACAAAAAAAAAAACAACTTTAAGCATTTTCATGTCTACAAGACATTTGATCTTCCCTGTATCCTTGTCATTCCCATTTATTGAATGTTTTGGGGTTTCCCAGTGTTTGAACTTGGTTGAGGATCTTCACGTGTACCCCCCATCCCTTCTTCCTGTAACTGTGTTCTCACTGTGCATCTCCTCGATCTTTTGTGAGTTCAAGGCCTGTGACTTGTCTGAACAAGGATTACACTGAGAGTTATCTCTGCTTTTTCTTTTATTTTAGAAACAATGAGGCTGATGAACAGGACTTTGAGAAAAGCAATTCCCGAAAGCGCCCTCGGGATGCAGTTCAGCGGGAGGAGGAGATGGAAGGGTACTACCAAGAAAACTGCAAGGCCTCGGGCAGCCGATCCTATAGTCCCGAGCACAGACAGAAGAAACACAGAAAACTCTCAGAATGTGAACAATCTCACAAAGTGTCTCACAGTCATGAGAGGAGAGATGAGAGGAAGAGGTGTCACAGGGTGTCACCTTCATACTCATCAGACCCCGAATCTTCTGACTATGGCCATGTCCAGTCCCCTCCATCCTGTGCGAGTCCTCATCAGATGTACACAGACCATTACAGGTCACCAGAGGAGGACCATGAGTCCATTGTTTCACACCAGAAACCTGGAAAAGGCCACAGTAATGCCTTTCAGGACAGACTGGGAGTTAGTCAAGAACGTCACCTGGGAGAACCCCAGGGAAAGGGAATCTTGAACCAAAACAAGGAACACAGATCTTGCCACAAGGAAAAACGCCCTATAGATGCCAAGGGTGATGACAAGGCCTCTGCTTTGGGCAGAGAGAAGCCACACAAATCCCTCTCAAAAGAAGAGACCCGAAGGCCACTCCAAGGGGATAGTGCCAAGGAGAGACCACCTTCTAGTGCTGCCAAGAAAGAGAAAGAAAGAGAAGGCAGCAGCCTCAAAAGGAAGTTTTCACCCTCAGAGGTTGCTTCAGACAACCACCTTAAAAAGCCAAAGCACAAGGACTCTGCAAAAACCAAATCAGACAAAAGCAAGCAACGTGTGGACAGTGCAGACATTGGAAAAGGGGCTGGAGACCTGTTGCCCAGAACAAAAGAGAAGGTTTCTAACAATATAAAGGCTCAAGAAGGGAAAGTAAAGACTTCTAATTTGGATAGAAAGTCACTGGGCTCACTCCCTAAGGTAGAGGAGGCAGACGTGGAGGATGAATTCGAGCAGCCCACCATGTCATTTGAATCATACCTCAGCTATGACCAGCCCCGGAAGAAAAAGAAGAAGATTGTGAAAACTCCAGCCACAGCACTTGGAGACAAAGGACTTAAAAAAAGTGATTCCAAAAGCACTAGTAAAAACTTAAACTCAGTTCAGAAATTACCCAAGGTGAATGAGAGCAGGTCAGAGAAGCTGCAGCTGGCTGGAGCCGACTCAACCAGGCTGAGAAAGGTAAGCCTCAAGGCTGCAGTGCCTGCAGGTTCTGGGTGCCCACCTGCTACTGTTCTCCTTGGCTTATTTGCAGTTGGCCTGTTGTATTTCAGTTGCACTAATTTCCTCTGGGCCTCATTTGCCCAAGGATAGCTGATTCCCAAGAAGACTTTTTGGAGGCGTTCCTACGTGATGGACCCTTCTGTATTCATTTCCTGGCTTAGATGGTGGTGTTCATGACTGTAAGCCTCCCTTCGGCCTGGACCTGCTAGGAATTTACTGTGGGTATGAAAGGTGTGCTCATAGAAAGGGGCTCTCCATTCACTGTTTCTCCTCTGCAGGTCCCTACTGATGCACTGCCAGTATTGCCAGACCTCCCCTTACCCACCATCCAGGGCAATTACCGTCCACTTCCTTCCCTTGAATTGATGCCCTCCTTCCAGCCAAAGAGAAAAGGTAATTTTCTATGTCGTCGTCGTCTTTTTTTTTTTTTTTTAATAAGTGAGATACTTAAAAAAATTTCTTTTTCAGTTGTAGTTGGATATAATGCCTTTATTTTATTTATTTATATGTGGTGCTGAGGATTAAATCCAGGGCCTCACATGCTAAGCGAGCGCTCTACCACTGAGCCACAATCCCAACCCCTCTTATTTTTAATTTTTTTTTTGTAGTTGTAGATGGACAGACTGCCTTTGTTTATTTTTATGTGGTACTGGGGTTCGAACCCAGTGCCTCATTCATGCTAGGCAAGTGCTCTGCTGCTGAGCTATAGCCCAGCCCACCCTCTTTTTTTTTTTTATAACTTTATTTTATTAATGTGGTGCTGAGGATCGAACCCAGTGCCTCACATGTGCTAGGCAAGTGCTCTACAACTGAGCCACAACCCCAGCCCTGTATCTTTTTTTTTTTTTTTTTAATTGGGATAAAGATGTACAAATTCATTCATGATCTGTCATCGTAACAGTTATCATCATATCAGATTTTGAGTACATTTCCTAGGAGTGTACTCTGGAGTTTGATGGCTTAGGTTGAATCTCAACACTGGTTTTTGCAAGTAGTATAATCTTGGGTAATATCTTAATTTCTTTGGAACTCATTTTCACATTCTGTAAATAGAAGTAATAATGGTAGGATTGTTAAATGGAAACAAAAGTAGTAATGCCATGCCACTGGATGTAGTGGCACACACTTGTAATCTCAGCGACTCAGGAGGATCACAAGTTCAAGGCTAGCTTCAGGAACTTGATGAGACCCTGTCCCAAAATAAAAAATAAAAAGGGTCTGGAGATGTAGTTAGTGGTACAGCATCCCTGGGTCTAGTCCCCAGTACCTCCCTACCCCAAAAGTGGTAATGCCAATAAAGCTTTTAGCTGTAGGTTTTTCACATACAATACAAAGTCTTCAGGAAATCTTTGCTCCTGTTATTGTTAGCAGCCTTTCATTCTATATATTGTATGTCTGATTTTTAGCTTAAAGAAAAAAATTGTAGAGTTTTGGTAGCAAAAGAATAAGAAGCCACATTGTGTCTGTCAGCAGAAGACTTAACAGAAACAGATATATCATGGCCTGACCACAAAGTGTCCTCTTAGACCACTGTAAAAAATGTACAAAGTTTTTATGTATCATCATGGAATGATTTCCTCAAATGTGCTAAATGAAACAAGCGATGGACCCAGGCTCAGTGTGCACACCTGCAGTCCCAGTGACTTGGGAGGCTGAGGCAGGAGGATCAGAAGTTTGAGGCCAGCCTTAGCAATTTAGCAAAATTGTCTCAAAATAAAAAGGGCTGGTGATGTGACTTAATGGTAATGCAGTCTCTGGCAGAATCCAGAAGAATTGTCATTGATTGTCCTTGAGAAAGGGAAGGAGAGGCCAAGGATCAATGTGGCTTGGGGCCTTTTGTGATTTCCATTCTGGTTTTCTTGCCCTGTAGCATTCTCTTCACCCCAGGAAGAAGAAGAAGCTGGATTCACTGGACGCAGAATGAATTCCAAGATGCAGGTGTATTCCGGTTCCAAGTGTGCCTATCTCCCCAAAATGATGACCTTGTACCAGCAGTGTATCCGTGTACTTAAAAACAACATCGATTGTAAGTCACATGCTTCCCTTGAGCACATTGTTGCAGTGGGACCTTGTCACTGGGTAGCTTGGCCGCTATTCAACACTCTTACCTTTGATTTCTTTGCAGCCATCTTTGAAGTGGGAAGAGTCCCGTTTTCTATTCTTGAACCTGTTTTGGAGAGGTGTACACCTGATCAGCTATATCGCATAGAGGAATACAATCACGTGAGTATCCTCCTTGTGAAGAGAGCAGCTTTCTGACTTGTGTCTCCAGATATAGCTTTGTCTCTGTGGATCTGCTGTGGCTGAAGGCAGACCAGTGGTCGATCCCTGTTCTGGGCATGTTTGATTTGCCTCTGGGCCTTTAAACAAGCATTTTCCTATCACCTGCTCTTAGGTAGCCTTTGGGCTAGAATCAGGGTGGGATTCAAAGGAGCAAGAAAAAACTTCTGGTGCCTCCTTTGTGCTTGCCTAGTCCGCAAGGGAGAAATCTGGCAGCAGAACACCTAGGACCCAGAGATACTCAGGTGTGAGGTCAACATAAAAAAAAGTACAAATTGGCTGAGTATCCAGACCTTCCAGAATTCTCCTGTAATGCAGACACACTCATCTGATGGCAGAGTCTCTCTCTCTCTAGTTCTGAGAGCTTGTAATATGACATCCCTCTTTGGTGGCCCCCCTTGCCATGATAGTTCAGTGTAGTGCTAGGGAAGTAGCTGATTTGAATTCAACCAGCTCTACCCTTTACTGATTCCTAAAGGAAAAGAATGATCTTAATTTTTGTCTTATCTTCTCTTACAACCACCCAGGAGCTACTTAGTGCTCATACTGAACTTTTTTTATTTTTTAATTCAGTGATTTGTTTTTTCCCCTAGAGTTTTGGTATTTTAATATGAAACTTCTATGCAAACCAAAAAAACAAAAAAAAAATTTTGCTAGGAAACGGGTCACTCCTAAGTGTAAAAGAGATACGTAAGAATGTTTTTATATAAGCGATATCCTCGCCTGAATGCAGGTATTAATTGAAGACACAGATCAATTATGGAAAGTTCATTGTCACCGAGACTTTAAAGAAGAAAGACCAGAAGAGTATGAGTCCTGGCGGGAGATGTACCTGCGGCTTCAGGATGCCCGAGAGCAGCGGCTACGAGTGCTAACAAAGAACATCCAATTTGCACATGCCAATAAGCCCAAAGGTAAGGGAAGGCAGAGGAGGCAGGAGCTGGCAGGTGGGTGGCTCTGGTCAGCAGCGAAGTCTTGGTGGGCCTGGCTGGTGTGGAGCCATTCCATAAACGTCTCTTGTGTTTGTAGGTGGGCAGAAATAACAGCAGTGTCACTGCTCAGGAAGACAGATATTAATCTCTAAATTTTTCCATAGGCCGGCGAGCAAAGATGGCCTTTGTCAACTCTGTGGCCAAGCCACCTCGAGATGTCCGCCGGAGGCAAGAGAAATTTGGAACAGGAGGAGCAGCTGTCCCTGAGAAAGTCAAGTAAGATCTCTGCGTGTGCTTGCTCTTTACCTGCTCAAGGAAGAGAGCCCCAAAAGCTTGTCATCCACCCTCAGAGGGAGCTAGCTGCAGGGCAGGAAGTGACTCACTTTGTAGTTTGAGTTCTGAGGCAGGCCTCGTTGAGCACAGACCTCTCCTGAGCCTCAGTGTGCTGGACTGCAGCATGCCCTGCATGGTGATTCCTGCCACCCAGGGGCTTGGCTTGTGGCAAACACTACCTTACACTTTTTTCTTTTTCCCATTTAAACAAAAACATACATTTCTGGGGTGACTAGACTCTTTCCTCTAGACCACGTGAGCATCTGAGCATAAACTGGCACCTGAACAGAGAAGGCAAACTGAGATGTTGACTTGCTCTGTAGCTGCTACAGTGTCTCTGATCCACCACCAGAACCCAGGGGGCTGCATCCCTGCTCACAGTCACAACACGAGTCATCCTGTGGCAGGCCAGCTTCAGGCTGCTTGTGCAGGGCAGATTTTCCCTGCTTGTGGCTGACCAGCTCTCTTCTGTGATGCAGGATTAAGCCAGCCCCATATACCACAGGAAGCAGCCACATTCCTGCCAGCAGCAACAGCTTTAACCCCATCTCTGAGGAGCCAGCCTATGACGGCCCCAGCACCAGCAGTGCCCACTTGGTGCCAGTGGTCAGTAGTACCATCTCCTATGATCCTAGGAAACCGGCTGTGAAGAGTAAGTAACCTGAGCCCCTGCTCAGATACCTAAAACTAGTTTGGGAAGTTCCTTGAATATCATTGCCATGGTATTGAATTTATGTGCTGGATGTAGCATTGCAGATGCTAGAATAACGGTCAGCCCCCTCCTTTCACTTGCTGTGTCCATGAGAATGAACATAGTATCAGGCATGGTGGCTCATGCCTGTAATCCCAGCAGCTTGGGAGGCTGAGCAGGAGGATCACAAATTCAAAGCCAGACTTAGCAACTTAGCGAGGCCCTAAGCAACTCAGTGAGACCCTGACTCTAAATAAAATACAAAAAAAGGGCTGGGGATGTACCTCAGCAGTTAAGTGCCTCTGAATTCAATCCTTTGTACAAAAAAAAAAAAAAAGATCATTTTAAACATTCATTTGGACACTTATGTTCTATTTTAAAAAATATTTTTGTACTGGGGGTTGAACTCGAGGGTTGCTTAACTACTCAGTCACATTCCTAGCGCCCGCCCTTTTTTTGGTACCAGAGATTGAATCCAGGAGTACTCAACCACTGAACCACATCCCCAGCCCTTTTTAAATTTTTTATTCTGAGACAAGTTCTTGCTAAGTTGCTCAGGACCTTGCTAAATTACTGAAGCTGGCTTTGAACTTGCAATCCTCCTGCCTCTGCCTCCCAAGTCACTGGGATTACAGGCATGCACCACTGCGCCTGGCCCAGCTCTTTTGAGATAGGGTCTTGCTAAGTCCTTAGGACCTCCCTAAGTTGCTGAGGTTGGTCTTGAACTTGCAGTCCTCCTGCCTCAGCCTTTTAAGTTGATGGAATTGCAGGTGGAGTCCTGTAATCTTACTGAGGTTATAATCATAGCTTTCAAATATTTTTAATATCTGTTTGGGTCTATTTTGTGTATTCTCTATTACCATAGACTACCCTCAGTATCCTCAGGGGTGTCTATCTTGAGAAAGGTACTATTGTGTAGTCCTTGCAGGACCTATGGGAGGATGGGAGTCCTAGCTCAAGTGTCGGCCACACTTAGCTTAACAGTGGAGAGGTAGGTTGGCCCTCTTGAGGCTATGCTTGCACAGCTCACCTTAGACTTGTTGCTGTATTGGACAAAGTGGAGGGTGGGGGTGCCATTTCCTGTTTGGATGTTTGTGAGGCAGAATTGAATTACGGCACAGCCTTTATAGTTGACAAGGGTTGAGTTCCAGCTATGCCACTTACCACATACCCATGGGCACTGCGGTTAGAACTGGGAACAGCGATGTTATGCTCCTGCGAGGGCCTCAGCAGGTGTGTGCTGTGTTCTGTGGCTTTCACTGCAGTGTTAACAAGTAGCTCCTGCTGCTGTCCACTGTCTGCTGGTGCTCAGCCAGTAGTGTAAGGCTTGGCTTTGACTCTATGCTATGGTCTAAGCTGCTGTCCATCTAAAATTGCTGCCTTACTTCTCTTAACAGAAATCGCACCAATGATGGCCAAGACAATTAAAGCTTTCAAGAACAGATTCTCTCGACGATAAACCAAGCACTTACTTTGGAGATGGAATTTGGGGGGCAAGAATACAGGGACAATGGGGGCTGGGGAGTGGGACTTCTAGAGGAGCCCAGAAGCTTACTTTGTGGAGCCTCTTGGCCTTGGAATCCTGCATGGTCGCAGGTGCTGCCCTGCACACCTACCTGTGCCCTGCCTGGAGCACACTTCAGAATTCTGAAGACGATGTGAAGCCTCAGTCTCACTGAGGATTTTAAGGTCAATTATACTTTTGTTGTTAATTAGCATCTTTGTAAACTATAAGACATAGTTTTAATTAATAAATATTGCCCCCAGATTGTATTTATATTACCCCCCAGAGTTTTTTGGTTTTGGTTTTGTCCTCTACCACACTTAGCTTTTCATTTTCCAGGTCCTTTATTAAAGTTAGATGAAGCCATTCCCTGTCCCAGGGCAGTGCTCCTGAGTGCTCTCTGGTCCAGAGGGATCTGGGTGTCCCCAGAGCCTGTGTGATGCTCACTGCACTGAGAGCCAGGACCAGACCATCACCCGGGGAGCCTCCTTGTGGGGATGGCAGTGTTTGGGGGCTCCTCACACCGAGACCCTCCTCAGCGTTGCCCAGAGCCCTGTGCAGGCGCATCCTCTCTCACCTGCTCGGTAGTGTTTATTAAGGGAGGCTGTCTGTGAAGTCTAGAGTCCTCGCCTGTCTCTTCGCAAGTTCTTTTTGTTGGTTTTGCCTGTTAGGCTCACTAGAGGACCGGAACCTTGAGAGGAATTTGCACAGACTCTCAACAATTTAATATTCCACTTTTTGATTCCCATTTTAGGTGGTTTCTTTCTTCCTCCTCTGCCTTCTCCCCATCAGCATGGGGATAAAACACAGATGTGGCAGGGCTCTTTATAGCCAGAATACAACTTTGGAGTAAGCCAGCACTTTAATCTCCTGTTCCCTGTGAATTGCTACTAGAAGCAAATGGTTTTTAAAGTTGTAATGCTCTGTTGAAAGTTGCTTTTGTTTTTCCTTTTTCTTTGAAAGTAAGATCATGTAACTGCAAGAGCACAACAATTTGCTCGTCGGGTAGAGAACTGCAGCCCTCTACCTTTTGGGTTGTGTTTCCCACATCAGGAGGGCGGGGCCGCCTGGGGAGTGGGGAGCCTCAGGGCATCCATCATGTTCAAGAAGGGAGGCTTTTGCTGACCTTTGGCTTAGGAGCAAAATCAGGACCAGGAGGGCAGTGTCAGCTTTTTCCTGGCTGTTGAAGGACACGGGTAGTAGATTTTAAGATGCGCACATTCAAGAAGCCTGCAAAGCAAACTGAGCTGGTAGGTTGTTAGTGTGACAGCCTGCTGAGCGTGGCCATCAGTCCCTCCCACAAGCTCTCTGAAAGCCCAGAATACAGAGGCCACTGTTTTAACCCCCCAGGACACCCCCATCGGGCTACCTTGGAGATTCCAGGGCTGTGCCGGAAACCTGCTCAGCAGAAGTTCTGCATCCTCCAGTGTGCATTGCTGTGTCTTAATTTGCTGTATTTCTGAATTGGGTAAATTTCTTTCCCTTGATTGCTTATTTTCACCAGTACACCCCTATTTTCTAGCCTGATTCCCAAATCTAATATTAGAAAGTCTTTTACCTGAAACCAAGTGAACACTTGGATCAGGTGCCAGGCACCTGCTACCTAGCTAGCTTCCTGTAAGTGTGCACCATCTGAATTTGTCTCTTATTGGTGTCTCCAAATCTTTGTCATTGAACCAGTTTTGCATATTTCATTTGAGTATGAATTCCTCTCATTAGGAGTCTGTAGGCAGGAAAGGACATAAATTTGTTCATTCCAATGTCAGTATCCGCTTCTGGCACATAAGATTTCTTGTTTGTGTAGAGCCAGGTCTTCCTCCGTCCCCCTCTGAGTGTCTGCATCAAGGATGTGACTTGGTGAGAAGAGGACACACTGAACTTCTAGATGACCCCCTCACCCAGCTTACCAAAATGGCTGCAGAGCAGACGCAAAATGATGTTGAACCTTTGGTCTCATTTGTGAAAACTTGTGCAATTTTTTTCTGTTCTACACTACACGTGAATCACCAGATAACAGATTAGTCCTTTGTGATCCCTGGTGTGATGAGCAGGGTCTCTGAGGCTTTTTCTTTCTTGGAAGTGGGAGGGGAAGGAGCAAGGTGTAATCCTGCTCTTCATTTGTATTTTGGTCCCAAAATGTAAATACAATTTTCTATGTTACTTTTTTGTGGTAACTACCAAGATGAATATTTTAATTAGATAAGTTATACAAAAAGGAAAATCCCACGTCTAAATAAAAAACAAAAAAATTCTGCCTCCTGCGTTTTTGCTCTTGTGTCATGGAATAGAAGTCAAGATGTCTGCCTACTGGGCTGAGGCGGAGGCCTTCGTGGGGGCAGGGGTTGCTGTTGGTAGTGCCGCAGGACCAGGGAGGGAGTTTCAGGAGTGAAGAACCCTCCCGGGGACGGGCACCAACCCTTGTTGTGCTTAGAAGCCTGCAGCTGTGCAGTTGACCGACCGACCCCTGACTTGAGGTGAGAGAACACAGCCAAATGCTGAGCTCCTGGTGGCTAAAGGAAGGGTTGAGAACCCAGATTCTCTTGACTTGCAAGGCTTGTGCGCTCTGGCTTTCCGTCTCTCCCTGGAGGGTGTGGGGCTCAGGCAGGTCTTCTGGGTCCTCCATTGATGTCTTAAAGAATGTTACTCTAAGCCACCTGCCTGTGATCCCAGTTACTTGGGAGGCTTGACCTTACTGATTATGCTCCTACCAGGTGCCAGACCCCACCCAGTCTTGTATCCAGACAGCCTCAGTTCCTACTTTGAAATCCTAAGCCCTAGTGGACAATGAGAAGGTGGGGCCTCTGGAGGCGATTAGGTCATTGGGCAGTGCTGAGAGTCAGAATGGCCCCTGGCATTTTGCCAATAGTATTGGTTGACAGGCGAGGCATCCGCCTCAGCTGCTACTTTGGAGTTCTCCTGGGGATTCCCGGAGAGTTCCCATTGGTTGGGGAAGTGCAGGAGGAGGGATTTCCAGAGGATATTGCTGGCTGCTGGTTCCTCGCGTGGGGTTCGGGATAGTGTGTGGAGTGTGCTGGTGGAGTTCAGAAATAAAGTTTGTTCCTGCTTCAGTGGCTCGTGATTTGTGCCCAGCCAGACTGCAGCAGGCAGAGGCTTAATGAACAGGATTCTCCTGCCTATGAGAGAAGAAGTGGGAGCTTTGGGTCACTCTGCTCTCCCCCATGTGAAGGCACAAGAAGAGAGCCATCAGGGGCAGGATCTGCAGTGCCTTGATCTTGGACTTGAGCCTCTGGAACTGAGAGAGATGAATGTTAAGCCACCTAGCCCATGGTAATTTGGTACAGCAGCCCAAACTAAGTTACTGGGCAGTTCTTAAGATAGAAACATAAGTTTGAGAACTGCGGGAGCACACCTGCAGTCCCAGCATTCAGGAGGCCCAGCAGGAGGATCCCTTGAGCTTAGGATTCAAGGCCCCCCTGGGCAACATAGCAAGACTCTTGAAACAAAAGCATTGTTCTTGGAAGATTAATGTATTTTTTTCTTTTCATTTCTTTTGTTCTTAGAAATTTGAGATCTGCTCCAGAGAATTCCACAAATAGCTCTTGCTACTTGGGTCAGTGACAGGAAATTGGCACAGATAGTCGCACACTTGGGTGGCCTCTTTCTGTTGCTGGGTAAGACCTAGCCCTTGCCCTCATGAAGCTTTCATCTAGTAGTGGAGATAGTTATCAAATAGTTGCACAAATAATTGGTTAAAATAGAATTTTCTGGGCACCACTGAAGAAATTTAGTTGACTTGGTCAGAGGTAGGATCTGGAAATACATTTTGTTTTATAGTCCTCCTCAAGTGAGCCTGATAAGCAGTGTGGTTGGGACTAAAGCATGGTGGGAAAACCCATGTAAACCTGGGAAATGAGTCAGACCCAGGCTCAAATCCTGACTCTACCACCCACTGACCTCAGTTTCCTCATCTATAACATAACAATGACACCAAAGGAATTCTTACTAGAGCTCCTTGAGAGAAGAGGAGCTGAATGAATTTAAAATGGAGAATGAAGGGAAAGAGTTATTTTCTACTGGTAAAGGGTTTTATATCAGAATACAAATATATCAGAAAAGTCTGTATGAAATGGACAATTTTTTAGAAAAATACAACTTAACCAAAAATTAGCTGAGCATGGTGACGCATGCCTGTAACCCCAGCAACTCAGGAGTTTGAGGCAGGAGAATCACAAGTTCAAAGCCAGTCTTAGCAAAATAGTGAGGCCCTAAGCAACTTTGTGTGTGTGTAGGGGAGATACGTTGGCCCCAATAGAACTGGCAAATTAAACAGACTGATTTGATCCTTCCCCATAAGAAAGCTCCAGGCCTGCTGGGTACAGTGGTGCATGCTGTGATCCCACATACCAGGGAGGCCTAGGCAGGAGGATCATAAGTTGGAGGCCAGCCTGGGCAACTTAGCAAGACCCTGTCTCAAAAAATAAAAAGGGATAGGGATGTAGCTCAGTGGCAGAGCACCCCTGGGTTCAATCCCCAGTACTGAAAAAAAAAAAAAAAGAGTAGGGGGAGAAAGCAAGCGCTAGCCCAAGATGGTCTCCAAGGGGAATTTTTTTGTTTTATTGTTTCTTTTAAATATTTTATTTATTTATTGGTACCAGGGATTGAACCCAGGAGTGCTTAACCACTAAGCCACATCCCGAGCTCTTTTTCATATTTTAGAGACAGGGTCTCACTGAGTTGCTTTAGGACCTCATTAAGTTGCTGAGGCTGGCTTTGAACTTGTGATCCTTCTGCCTCAGCCTTCCAAGCCACTGGGATTACAGGCGTACACCATTTTAATTTTTTGTTTATTTTATTTATTTATTTTAATATTTTTTTTTTAGTTTTAGGTGGATACAATATCTTTATTTGATTTTTATGTGGTGGTGAGGATAGAACCCAGTGCCTCACAGGTGCTAGGAAAGCACTCTACCACTGGAGCCAAACCCCAGCCCATGTTTATAATTCTTCAAAGGGGAATTCTTTCAACCTTCCAGGATCAAGTGGTCCTAGTGCCACCTGCTATTCCAAAGCAAAGTAAAAAGAAAGTGCTGTGGAAGCCAGTAAAACATGATATTGAAACTAGATAAAGGTTACACCAAAAAATAAAATTACAGACCAATCTTATTTATGAATATCGATGAGACTATTCTAAATATTAGCAGAACCTAACAGCACATTAAAACAAACCAAAAAAAAACATGCTGGGATCTTGGTCATTCTTAGTGTGAAGACTGGGTTTCACAGTGTGAAGTTTGCCTCTTTCCAGCCCCTAACCCTAACCCTAACCCTAACCCTAACCCTAACCCTAACCCTAACCCTAACCCTAACCCTAACGCATCACCTGCCTGATGTGGCTTTAGGATCAAATCACAGCCAAATAGGGTTCACTGAGCACTGGCAGGACATTGGGACTCTATCAGAACATGTCAGGACAGTAGTTCTCAACTAGATATGATTTTGCCCCCAGTAAGACATGTAGCAAGATCTGGAGATGGCTGGCTGTCACTGCTGCTACACCTTCAGATTGCCATAAAGAAACTTTCAAAGGCAACACGGTTAACGGTCCCTTTCTCACAGCGTAACATTCTACAATGCACAGCACAGCCCCCTTGCAACAAAGAAGGCTCAGTTCCATTGCAATAACAGCCTCCAAGCCCCAGTGGCTCAAAATCGGGAAAGTCTCCCTCCACCTGCACGTGGGTCTGGTGGGCATCTTCTTTATGCCATCCTCAGTGGGGCTCAGGCGAAGGGAGGTGTCATCCCCAAGCTTTTAAGACTTTCCAGGCCAGTGGAGAATATTGCCCCTGCTCTCGGCTATGTCCAGAAGGAACATCCATCATGTTTTGTTGGCCATACCTAGATTCAAGGGGGCAAGGAAATCTAATACAACACCTCCATGTGCCTGGACACAAAGAACTGGAAATATTTGCTAAT